TTTTTTTATTTAAATAAATAAACTTCCCATGAAATATATCTATCAATGGCGGATGACCTGACCACCCTTACCTACCTACCTCTCTAGGGTTGGGTATTTATTAATCTGTATCCTCCGACACTACATTTTCTCTTTCCCAACGAGAAAACAAAAATAGAAGAAAAAAAAACATCATACAGACGAAAATTCAGCTACAGCGATCGCGATTCCAGGCGTTGAGCCAATCGAGAGATTGCGAACCGCGCAGCGTTCGTAGATCGATCGATCCATTAATCAATCAATTTGGTGGTGCGAGGTTAAATCAAATCGAAAAAAAAAAACGAAGATGTTCTTGTTGGATTGGTTCTATGGAGTGCTCGCATCGCTTGGCCTGTGGCAAAAGGAAGCGAAGATCCTTTTTCTAGGGCTTGATAATGCTGGCAAAACCACCCTTCTTCATATGCTTAAGGATGAGGTTCTTTTCCTTTTTCCTTCTTCAATTCTGTTCTGATCTGCTGAATATTTGTTTGTTGTGTGTTCATATGTTGGCTGTGGAAATGAATCTTGCTGCTGTGTAGCTCTGGGTTGGGATTTGGCATACGATTTTGCTGATTTGTTTAATAAAATGGGAATGGTAGATCGGAATATGATTAACGTTGTTTGTGACAATTACATATGTATTTGATTCTGAGACATTCGGTGGCCATGAGTTGTAGGTCAATGATATCATTGCTGCTTTTCCGTCTTTTTCTTTTTTTACTTTTTAGACTCAGGCATTTGCGTTAAATTGTCAAGTGATTGAATCTGAACCGAGTTGAAGAGGTGTATTTAGGATTGTTCCAAGACAGTATCTGCAATCTTTCACATGAAGCAAATTGCTTGAGTTTGGAAGTGATCTGAGATTGTTGATTTGTTGGGAATGAGCAGAGATTGGTGCAGCACCAACCGACCCAGCATCCAACTTCGGAGGAGCTGAGTATTGGGAAAATCAAGTTCAAGGCTTTTGATTTGGGAGGACATCAGATTGCTCGCAGAGTGTGGAAAGATTATTACGCCAAGGTATACTATCTGTCTAAGTTCAGCCATTATTTACCCTGTTGCAATGATTTGTAATATGTATCTTGTGAATATGTGCCAGAGTTTTATTTGGGAATCGAATTGGATGTTTAGTCTTTTAGACCATATTTGGATATGTATCCTTGTTGTAAGATTATCAGTTATTTTTTCTCTTCCCGGTGTTTAAGATACTTTAATTGAGGATGGTTACTAGATTCAGTACTCTCGCCTTTTTATTTCTAAATTTAGTGGAGAAAGTGAAAATTCTTGATATGTTGCTAATGCTGTAGCCTACACGATTCAACAAAAAAAAAAAAAAAATGTTTTTTAACATGTACTGATATTGGTACTTCTTATACTCTTTCTTGATTTTTATATGGTACGTGTCGTAAATTTCCTATTGCGTGAAATCTCATGAGAAGCTTCTTATTCCCTGTGACAGATAACTAAAATAATGTCATTGCGCTTTTCTTCATTATATAATATAATATGGAAATTTGCAGTTTATGTCGTTATGTTTTTGAGCTCATAGAAGTTCTGTTTGTACCGTGTAATTATATTTTGGGAAGAAATTTCCCGTGGAGAAGATGTATGCACACTTCGAAAGAGGAAACAACCTTATAAACTTCTTTGGCCATTATTGAGTCCCTGAAAAGTAAAAAATGATTACTGCTACTCTGCCTAATAGAGCTTTCTTAATCATAATAAATCATTTGCATGTTTATTGATACATTATCATGTTCACGTAACTATTTCATTGCCATTACTGATTTGGTTGCTGAAATAATACTTGTTGATGAAACTCACTGGACATCGGTATTTCAAATGCTGATAGACAACATTCTATGATGAGAAATTTCAGCTGTTTAGCGCTTTCCTTTTTCCAATATCAGTTGCTGATGATGAGTTTCTGAGGACTAATCCAAAGCCTCCATTATTGAGTAGTTTCCTGTTCATGTCATGAAATACAAGCTTATATATAATAATCTGTAGTTCTGTGGTTTTTTTGTTATGTTGTTCAAATGTTCACGTCTAAGGGAAATTGTAGTTGTTGGATTATACAATGGGCTATGCATGGTTGAAGAGGAACGTAAAATAGCATAGAGTATGGAAGTAAAAGAAATGAATATATGAAAATTATTATTGAGTTTTTCCTCTTCCTTTTCTCCTAATTTTTGCTTTTCTTTATTATTAATGAACAAAATCCTCATAATATAGTGGTTACATGCAGTGCATTTAAAAAGAATGGAAATCAAATCAGCCAATCACTTCACTTAAATCACTAATTATCAAATCAAAGTTAGTTTAATTAATTATCTCCACAATCTCCATAAATGATTGAATTTATTAATCTTGCGCTCCGATTAGCTTGTGTACTTTAGGAGATGGTACGTGTCAACTTGCCATTGGTGTCCATTAATTCTTTTCAAATTTTCAAAATTTCCGATTTCTTTACTCATTCTTTTTTTAATTCAGATTCGATTCTTTATAGTAACTTTAACATGTTGACCTTTTTTTTTTTTTTTTTTTTTTTTTTTTTTTTTTTTTT